GAGGAGAGGTAGTAGAATTCGCCATAGCGACAGTATGTGCCTCTCAAAGGCACACTACTGCCGCGAACTCCTCTGAATCCCCTGAAGTCCCCGAAAAATCATCAGATGTGTCCCATCCCTGCTTGAGAGCCACACTCTCAACACGCCTGGAAGAGCTTCTTTGACTCTGCTGAAACACGGCTGATTCCCACTTGAAAAGCTCCATACTAATCAAAATACTCACTCAAGCGCGGCACACGAGGATTGCAACAGAAGAGATGGAGGCGGTAGCAAAACTCAAGTGACATCTTCGAAAGCTTTCGACAAGGATAACGACCACGACACCATATGCAAAATAGCAGTCGCAGTCGTCAAAAGGCATAAAACACGTCAAGAACAAGGATTCCACTCCAAAAAGTAGAAGTGCTCCCAATCAGAGATGTGGAAATCTGAGTTTATCAAAGTTGGCCAAGACTTTGATGAATATCCCGCGTTGTTCGGCCTAGGAGGGTATTTTGCACTTTCGCTAGTTCCCTTTGCTAATTTATGTTAACCAGCAGGTCGCAAATGATAAAAATGAGCCACTTCGGTGATAAGTACTCACAGGCTTCCCTCGACACATTTATCATCTGGTCTCCCCGAAACGTTGAATAGCCTAGCCTGATTTCGTCACACCACCACATTTTTTTCCGACAACCATAAATTTTACTACTTTTTGCCAGCTATAATTGGCCTTGGTGGTCGCTCGCTCCGAAAGCAAAAAGTGGCTTTTCATCAAGACAAGTTCAAACCTGCCCCCAACATGACCTGTTCTTCCTGTAAATAAGAGTGCGTTCATAATTTGCACCAGCGTTAGCCTACGGCGACGTTGTAGGTGTACGGCAGCATTTCCATCAAGTAGGAAAGTATATGCACCGATGTAGCTGGAAACGCTGCAACGATCAAAACCTGACGCAAAGTATGAAAGCACTCTGACAAACGCGAAAACCACTCCCTCACATTTCAATTAGACGGAAAAGGAAACTGAAAACATCATAGCTACTGTACAGCAATGATTGCAGTACAGTACAGTGTGGAACACACCTATATATGACGTAGGATGTCGAGAAAAAAAAGACCATAAACAACAATTTATCGATAACAAGAACAAATTTACTCTTCACTGTCAACATTCACATTCGTGAGGTTTTTGAAGTTGGTGCACGGGACATATGTGCACAGGGTGTAGAGCTTATGCACTGAATCCTCATCCTCGTTGCGGCGTCGTGACAAGCGGACGCGCACACGGAAAGGCACATTCCTGAAAGCAGCGATTAGTAAACATATAAGTTCGACGACCTACAGTAAATAAAAAAGAGCTAATCCGAGCGAAAATCCTTTCAATAAGAAACGGCAGAGCAATTTGGATACCACTTTCGGATCACGGTGAACGGGAAAGGGAATATTATGTTTGTTTATAGTAACACAAACGTAAACAAACGACGCTTGGTAATCACCAGGAGGGATAGGCAGAGGTTATTCGTCTCAAATCGAAAACTTTTAGAAACATGAAGATGCTAACCATAACCAATCAAAACGGATGTACTACAGCCGAGTTGATATAATATAGTAAAAGTCGACTCAAATCTATTTCATATGAAGTGGCTCATGGAGGCCTTTTGTACGCTACAGTCAAGCCACAGCCGCAGATCAGAAGCAAACAGAAAATACTGACAATAGGTGTGGATCTATTGCAGCTTTACGTTCTTCACTATTTCTTCAGTTTTGTCAGATTGAGTCCAATTTTTTACCACATTTAGCCGCCTCTCACATATGGCGACTTTCAAGACATGACGAAATGTTGACAGAAGACATCATGAAACTGTGGACGGAAGAAAGGCAGAAATTACAAAAAGGAAGGGTATGCGGAATTGGGAGAAACCAGAATCTGCAGGAATGCAGAAATTCCGCGCAATTTGCATTTCTCTCACTGGCGAGGTCAAGCGATCAACTCCTCTGAGTCTTTGCCGGCGATTTCCGCATTTCCACAGATTCTGCATTTCACCCAGTTCACTAAATTCGTCGTTCTTTCAAAGCCGTCATGTATGAATGAAGCCTAACAAACCGCCAAGCATGGAAATGAGTTTCACCCGAACACGTCAATAAAAAACGATGTCTTTGCATACACAGAATAACCCTTTATCCTCACCAGGGCTGCGTTCATAATGTGTGAACGGCCGTTCCGCAAAAATGTAGATTCGCCAATCCTACTACTTCCCTTGGTCGCTAGATCTATACAGACCTTCTTTTGGCGCCCACTCTTCTATTGTTTACCGCAAAGTATGAACGCAGCCTAACCAGATTTTTTGACCTTGCAGGTACTCCCATCACACTACACCCTCCCTTGTTTTCGCCCACTAAATCTCATCCGTGACAATACCGACGGGGTGTGTGTTGCAACCCTCCGAATCTAGATATGAGTGATGGTGCAGAGTGTATAATGCGAAATGAGCTCGCTCAGGGATCATAAAATGACCGCTGATTCCAATCGAAAGACCAGCCCACCCATATAAAAAAAGAAAATGAAGTGCTATGAAGTGTTAAACAGTTCAGGGTACACAAACTGCGCAAAAGGACCGGAAACACCCTCATCTGCTATCGAAATAAATCAATACATGGGCCAGAAAATGTCTACTACTCCATAAATGGCTTTTGGCACCGAACAGAATAACTTTCCAGGTATCCGCCGCTTGCTTTGTCTAAGATGTCTTCTGCAGTGGCTTGACTTCAGTGAAGTACTTTTTGATGATGATAATGATGACGCGGGAATTTTGGGGCCAGATTTTTAGAAGTATGGGTATTACAAGAATGCTGAGTTATGGGCAAAAGTCGGACCACGGACGGGATTCGAACCCGCATCTTCTGCTTACCGGGCAGTTGCGTTCCCTATTACGCTACCGAGGCCACTTTTGACCACTCAGCTCAATGGCTATTTGTGCCATAGCCTTACAGCACTCACACGTTCAACGTGATGAGCCGGTTAGCCGATATCGGCAGTGAACCGCAAGGCTGAAGGCTTTTTTACAAGTTTCAAGCTGTTATTGTCTGATAACTGCTATGGGTATTAAGAACCTAACAAAGAAAGGGTCTTCTCCAAGAAGATGGTGCTTCACACCAAAACATAGCCACTTGCACAAGAGACTTTTCCCAGTCCCGTGGTTTTTTTATATACCCCGCGGCCCCACTATGCTTCTGAAAATAGCATTCCATTCCATGACGCCCGAACTTCTCCTCTCGCAATAATCATGAACGTCAGAAAGCCTCACAAGAACTGTTCGAGCGAGCACCAATGTTTGGCAATATTTGGACTATATAGACCATTATGACCGTAAACTGCTCGTTCTTGACCCAGGATTTGAACCCATGACCGCGCGGGTAGTGAGCGCGCCACTTATCACCACACCACCTCCGCCTCAAAAAAAATCAAAGCATACCCTTTATTTTTATGCAGATTCGTCATTTCTTCAAGGTCGCCGTGTCTGAACGCGGCCTCATTGAAGCAGCTTGTGTGGAGCAGCGCCGACTACTTCAAACCACCACATTAGGTTTTGTTGACA